GATACAACTGATAAGTTGCAAACTGTCACGCGTGACATGTGTACTGGGTCGGGCCTTGCGTAAACATTTGAATTTTGGCGCCACACATTCGCAGGTGACGTAATGCGCAGTAGAAAACGCATTTGAGAAAAATAATGAGCATACCGTGTGTAAGTGTATCGTGATCGCTACTATATTAAGTATCAACCTTTTATAAATGTAATCAAAGTGCCCAGAAATTAAACCAGGACTGTCACTTAAATGATTTTATTTGTTACACAGTTGTAAACGTTGATTAACAAGACAAAACGCAAACGGGTAAACGTCATGTTTAAACGCTACTGACTTGTAAAACTGACAGCAGACTTGTAAAACTGACAGCAGACCTGTAAAAATTTTACAAGTTAGTAATCTAGTAATTTCATTGGCCAGAATTAATGCGAAGTCTCTGTTACATGGATCACATGATATTTTAGACATTTCTTCAAGATCAATTTAAGAACTAATTATTTACGTTTACAAATGAGTAACAAATAAAATATTGTACATTATACGCCAGGTAAAAGTTTTTACTGGCTCTAGGAGATGACAGGCTCGCCTAACGGCTCGCCAGTCAACTTCTCCTATCGCCAGTAAAAACTCACTTACCTGGCTAATAATGTAAAATACTATAACAAAGCAAAATTGATAACGAAAATAAGCAATTAATTTCCTACATTTAACAATTTTAAGAAATAATCTTTTACAAGGAAAAAAATACACCACTTGGATACAAATAGAAACGCAATACTCTCTTTCTGTTTACACGTAAAACCTAACCAGATTAAATAAATTGAAACGAAAATTTGATTAATGATTAATGACGCGTCATTAACTTCAGGCGTCTCAACGTTCGCATCGACACTGTTAACATAGAATTTATTTCCCACATAGTACCTATATGTAGGTTATAAAAAATGCTTTATATCCCATACAAAATACAAATCCAATATTCCGGCAATTCCAATAATCCCATATAGGCGAAAAAATTTGGGTGCCGGATTACCGAGCGCCTACTGTATATGGTTAAAATAGATGTAGAAATATCTACATAAATAATATAAATAAGAAAGTTGGCATTAAACAGTCTGCGCATGCTTAAATCTCATTTTTACTGTATACGTTTAAGGTGCGTAATTTTAGTATCACTATATGCGTCACACTTGCCATCTAAAACGAGCGGTTTAGCCGCAAATCGATATTTTTTATAAAACTGTATCTGAAAAACTTCAATATCGCAGTAATTGTCAAACTAAGTACACCCAATTTAGAAAATTTTATTCATAGATTTAGATTGTTTAATAAATATGCTTGATTTTGAATAATAATAATAATATTTATAAAATGTCAAACAGGAAAACTTTCTAATTACAGGACAAACTTAAAACTGATAATTAGGCGAGTAGGTACTGTTATAACTAAATAAAAATGAAAAAAAGTTTTTTGTCTTAAGGCGAGTAACTTTAACGCATTTTCCCTGCATTGATCAGTACTTCCTGAAAGGTTAACAGATTATTTTGTACAAAGGAAAATAAGTTTAAGGCATAAATATTCATATAAATAATTCCCGTAATACTGCACCGGGACGTGATGGTATACTGTATGAGTTTATAAAGCATGTACCAAACTGTGGAAAAGACCATATCCTTAGATTGTTTAACAAAATTTGGGAAACGTGTCATTACCCTATTCAATGGCAAACTTCGATTGTTGTACCATGCCTTAAACCAGGAAAGAATCATACAGATCCAAACAGTTATAGGTCTATATTACTTATATCATGCTTAAGTAAATTGTTAGAAAGGATGGTAAATTTGCGACTAATATGGTTGTTAGAGAGATACGAATTTATATCAAATTTCCAAGTAGGATCTAGAAGAACACGATCTGCAACTGACGCACTTGTACAATTGGAAACAGCAATATTAAATAGTTTTGCTAAAAGAGAACACCTATATGCAATATTTTTCGATATTCAAAAAGCTTTTGACGATACATGGAGATACGGAATACTAAAAAAGATGCATTCGTTACAAATTCGAGGAAACTTACCAATATTTATACAAAGTTTTTTAAATGATAGGAAATTCGCAGTACGTATCGGTAATACTTATTCCTCCGAACGGGTGCAACTCACCGGAGTGCCTCAAGATTCTGCACTGAGTGTAACGTTGTTTTCAATCGCAATTGATGATTTATTGACTTCTATCAGTCCAACTGTTGGGAAAAGTTTATATGTAGACGATCTTCTGATCTACTCATCAGGCGCCATAGATTCAAACGTTAATGATATCCTGCAGAATGAAATAGATAAAATATCGAATAATGCGAAAAAGATTGGTTTTCGCTTCTCTCCCACGAAAACCCATGTAGTTCATTTTTGCCGATTGAGAAGTTTCCATAAACATCTAAAATTCACATTAGATGGACATACGATAGAAGTTAAGGATAACATCAAATTTCTTGGAGTTATATTTGACTCTAAGTTATATTGGAAAGGGCAAATTGAGAATTTATCTGTTAAATGTAAAAAAGCACTTAATATTCTTCGCTGTGTTAGCCATTTGTCGTGGGGTGCGGATAGAGAAGTTTTACTAAGATTACATAAAGCCCTGATACTTTCAAAGATTGATTATTCCAGTGTTATTATATCGGGAACCAGAGCAACTAGAATTCAAAAGGTTAATCGTATTCATTGCGAAGGTCTACGGCTATGTACTGGTGCTTTTCGCACTAGCCGCCTAGAAGATGTATGTTGCGAATCGGGAATTCCACCTATGAAAATATTATTTGACATTAACTTGCTTAAATATGGTATAAGAATAAATGCTTTGCGAAGTCATCCTAACTATAACGTACTTTTTAATAATGGTACATATCCAATCTATGACAGTCGAAGTACTATAATGCGCCCAACTGGCATACGACTTCTAGAAAGGTCCAGGAATCTAAATTTGCTTGAATTACCAATAGAAACATATCAAAATAAAGTGTCCGAAATTCCACCTTGGGTAATTAGTAAACCGCAAGTAAATTATAAGTGGTTTGACACAAAAAAGGACACTAATAAACAATATCTTAAACAGGAATTTCTATCAGTATTAGATCAATACCGTGATTATATTATAATATACACAGATGGTTCGAAGACGGAAGAGGGAGTGGGAAGTGCATTTAGTGTTACAGACAAGACATATAATTGGTCACTTCCAAAATATACAAGTGTGTATACAGCAGAACTGTATGCGATTATGCAAGCGTTATACTATTCTACCATGTCGACAGAAAAAAGATTTTTGATTTGTTCAGACTCCCTTAGTTCCTTGAAAAGCATAACGAATACATTTAGCAAAGATGCTCTTGTGAGAACGATGTTATCCTGCCTAGATTCTTTACAAAGACGCCGTAAAATTGTCAAATTTTTGTGGTGTCCTAGCCATTGTGGAATAAGAGGTAATGAATTGGCAGATAGCGCAGCTAGAGAAGCAACTCTCTCCAAAGAAATAGACTGGCCAAGGGTGCGTGCAGATGATGTTAAAATGGAGGTATTATCAAGAATTAGACAATTCTGGATGACACAATGGTTCGCAGATGAATCATTTTTCAGTCAAATCAAAGTGGGTGTAAATACGTGGAAAATACCTCGTGAACTATCACGCCGTGAACAAGTTGCTCTCACGAGATTACGACTAGGACATAGTAATATAACATCAAGTCATTTACTTTTAGGAGCCCCTCCTCCGTTGTGCGTGGAATGTAATGAGCCACTAAATGTAACTCATATGTTACTTACATGTAGAATAACTGAAAACTTAAGAATAAAGCATAATAATAATAATAATAATAACATTACCACATGATGACTTGGTTAAGACCTGTCTCATGTGAAGCATACCACCATGAGTGAGTAAAAAACGACGATAATAATAATATATAATTTAAGATAAGATCTCAAAGAATTTAAAGGAATGTTTAGGAAATGATGAAGATAGTATTCGAAAATTGATTGCATTCATTATGGAAACTAAAATTGTCGTAAAACTATAAACACTAACGGCTAATAACCATGCAGTTGATGCCGTAGAACTATAGCAAAAAAAAAAAAATAAGAAACTTAGCAGTGCGCATCTGCGCATGCATATACCGGATGTTTAAAATGTTTGCCTTTGCTAGATGAATAATAACATTACAAAAAATATCTATAAACAAGAAAGTTGACATTGCGCAGTTTGCGCATGCGCACATCTGATTTTTACAGTATGTGATACGCTTGTCTTTACTAGAAGCACCTGTGCTTAATAGATGTATACAGCGTGGACGGTAAGTATGTTGTTGGCTGTAATTAGTGGTTTGCAATCGTCTCTATGGTATAAAGGTAGTGGTAGTACAACCCTAAGTCATAGTGATAAACCCGGATACGTTTAAATTTCGACAAAGGAAATAAGAAAAAGGATTCCAGAATTATTATTGTATGATATCATGAGATCTCCCTGATGTTAAGTAAATTAGTTGCTTTTTTTTGGTACTGCTAAGTCCTCCAGGTCACCATTATATAGTTGCGTGGTAGAGTTTGAATCTGGGTGGGGGCATTGAGAAAGTATAATTGTTGGTTGTTCTTGTTAATTTTGGAAAGGAAGTGTTAGAGGAGGGGCCTTATACTACAATTGCAGTTATCTTATCCATCCAAATGATTCCTCTAATTTTGTATTTCAGTGGAACGTTGTGTCCTGTAGGAGATAAATGCACAAACAAAAGATTTCAAAAATCCGCTTTCTCGCCGTGTGAAGTTTTTAGGACAGACAAAAAGGGACTGGGTATAAGAGCTACTGCGGCGATACCCTTGTAAGATTTAAACAATATCGCTCTAACCTGAATAACAAAGCATGTTATAGTGGGGAATTTATCCTTGAGTATGTTGGCGAGGTCATTGGCCCAGATGAATTTGAAGATCGCGCCACCGAATACTCCAAAGATAAAAATCCGCACTACTATTTTATGTCGCTTAGATCTGATGCGGTAATTGACGCCACTCAAAAAGGTTGGTACGAGGCAATTGGTGTTGTTGTAAATAATGGTCGCGATCGTAGGTAACATCTCACGGTTCATCAACCACTCCTGCGATCCTAACGCTGAAACACAAAAGTGGACTGTTAATGGAGAGTTGCGTATAGGCTTCTTCAGTAAGAGAACTATAATCGCCGGTGAAGAGATTACATTTGACTATCAATTTCAACGATATGGGTAGGAATTATTCTTAGTTGTAACCCATTTTCAATCAGTATTTACAGAAAAGAAGCGCAAAAGTGTTTTTGCGAGTCAAGCTTGTGCAGAGGTTGGCTTGGCGAAGAGCCTGATGATGATGACGATGATGACGAGGAAGAAGAAGAGGAGGAAGAGGAAGATGAGGAAGAAGTAGAGAAGGTGGTGAGGGAAGTTGTCCCAGAGGTGACAAAAGCTGAAGAAGAACAACCACCTTTACCTCCCGAACCGCCTGTCATTGTTCCTGCTACTGAACCAGTTGTTGAGCTCCCGCCACCTGTGACGCCAACACTGGTACCGGAGCCAATCATCAAGGTGGAAACTCCAGAGCCAATCCCTAGTAAAACCCCTCCGGTTGTTACTCCAGCCGAGATTCAACTGCCAGTAAAGGTTCAGACGCCAGCAAGGAAAGAAAAGAAAAAAATCATTAAAAGAAAGATACTGAAAGATTTATTCGAGGATGTGGATGTATGTTTGCATCGCCTACCGTTCTCTGTTGCTCACTCTTTATCTTGCAGGTTGACGAAGAGTTAGAACTGCTGGTTTCGACAGGGTTAAAAAATCGTGCGCAAACCGTCAAACTTTGTCGCTTAATGGTTCGCGCAACCGAAGTTTCACAGAGAACTACATTACTAAGAGTATTGAGACGGGGTGAATTTCCATGTCGAAGGTTGTTTTTGGACTATCACGGTTTACAGCTGATTTATGGATGGATGAGTGATGCACAACAATTGTGTTCAACCAATGAAAAACAAGAGGCTTTAAGGTATGGTAATCTATAACTGTGCTACGCTACTAAAAAATGGAAAATGTTACACAGGCTGGGCATCCTGCAAACATTAGCTACGCTTCCAATTCCCGACAAAACAATGCTCCAAGACAGTAAGGTTCTACCTACTGTCGAATTATGGTCAAAAAAATTAGTCAATATACCCAAAGAATTCGATTCCGAAAGTAATTCACCCATGTTAGACAATGAGGCAGCTCCAATATGTGAGCCAAAAGCTGAGATCACTATTCAGAGTGATCCCACAGAAACATGGAAAAATGATGAGGTGATAAAAGAAGAAGACAAGTTAGAAGAGGATGAGAAGATGGTGTTCAAAAGACCTGTAGACATGTATGAGATAAGGAGATCCGTAGGTATGGATATAGAAAATATACGTTCCGAAAACCTTTGGAGAGTAGAAGAAGATAATGTAAAGTTGGTTCAAGAAATAATTGATATGTTCGAAGAAGATATGGATATTTCCACAATGGTTTTTAATTCCGAAACAAAGGTGGCTGAAGTGCAAAAAGATCGTCCTAAGGAAGATGAAAGAGACTATGAGGGGGAGATAATTTCACTTGCTTTAGAACTACTAAAAACGTGGTCTGTTCTTAAAGAAGTTTTTAGAATACCAAAGAAAGAACGAGTTGAAAAAATGAAAGAACATGAAAGAGAAGCTGATAAAGGCTACAAAGGGGACTCCGAGCATCATTCTGAAAGGGAAAGGGAGAGAGAAAAAGAAAAGGAAAGGCACAGGCGCCAGAAGTTCAGGGAACAAAAGAGGAAAAGCAGAAAGAGTCAAAAACACGAAGATTCGTATCATGGTATGCATAGTAGGATTAATAAACACGAAAGACGAAAGTTATTTGCTATGCAAGTTGAACAAGAAGAAGAGCGGAGATATAAACGAGAGATATGGAGGCAACATGATATCCCATACATGTCTGTAGGCAACGATTCAATGTACTCTTCGCAATATGAACCTTCCAGAAACTTTCAAATGATATGGAACCAACAAAACGGACAGTGGCAGAACTATCCCGTACATTTAAATGCCAATCCTATTATAACCTCAAACCTTACACCCGGATTTAACATTGGCTTAAATTATTCTTATTCAATGCCTGGGACAGTCCCAAATATCTCAGTGTCCCTCCCCAATTTACCAATGCCATCAGTCACAATGTCGAATCCTATGATAAATCCGCAAATCACCAGCATTCCCCCACCAATGCCAGCTATCTCCAACATGTCCGTGCCGCCCCCTAACATCTCGCACATGCAACAAAACATCCATCGTCCATTAATTCCTCATACAATGCCAGCCATACCGAATGTCCCCACTCTCAATATACCTACAAACATACCGCCACCGTCTCTTCCTCGAATAATTCCTCAAGCGACGAGCATTTCTCTTCCAGAAAATATAACTTTGCAAACAAACATTCCTCCACCGACGAATGTTACTCCCATATCAAATTTACAATCGCAAAGCCTGTCGATGCAGCCAACCAATATTCCGCCACCTAATATTTCACAGCACGTTTTTAATTCGGAAAAACAGCCAGAAAAAGAGATACAGGTAAGAATTGCCTTGCACTTACACACATATAAGTGTAATTTTATGCTTTGATACATTAGCGTAAAGGTAGCCATTTTTTTGAGATTTAATATTGCCAATAGGTGTGATTTTTCAAATTCTATAAGGTTGCTTCATATAAAAATTTGGTGGTAATCTGGTGGTCTGCATTCTTGGTATTTACATGCAAGACATTAGATTATCTGGCCAAAACAATAAAAAATCTAAAATTGATACTATTTCTAAAACAAAATGTAATACTCAGTTCGAAAATTAATTATTCAGTGCCTCATTAATATTCACATAACTGCTAGCCCCACCAAAAAGTGGTTGCGCATTCGCAAATTAAATTTTAAAAAATACTTCAAAATTAATACGACTTATTTGAGCAAAAGTGGGCCTGTACGTGATCTCTACCAACACACTGTGGTTGATATATTCACACCTACGCACACAGGTACGCCTTGTCCAGATTTTTCTTTGTATCTTTGGCACTGCATTCTCAAGATATACGTTTTGACACTACTAATACATATATTTCGTCTAGATGTTCCATTTTCCTTCTGTGAATACCCTCCTCCGACACTCTTGATATCAAAATAGTTGTCCTGATGTTAGCAATCGATGTGTCGCCCAGACGTTCTATTTTCTCTTTGTCGGTATCCTCCTCTGAAAATTCATTCTCAACATATTCGCACTTGCAGTTAATAAATAAATAATAAATGTTTGGACTTCAATAGATATGCTTTGACCAAATGTTTCAATAGCCCTTTGTGTGAACGCTCTCCCGACATTCCATTCGCGATATATTCACACTTAGTTTTGAGATCATCGATAGATGGCACCCCTTTTTGCCTTTGTCTGACTCGTCCAACACTGTTCTTGAAATATGAGGAATGATAACTTATCTTGAAAAGATGTTGGAGAGTAGGTAGGAATTAATTTCTGCTGTTGAGACTTTATTTGAATACCTCTTTTTAGTCCCCCCCCTCCCCCAATTACAAAATGGTAATGAATTATTAGCGATCCCGATAATAGGTCTTGGAGGAAAGGGATAGTTATTAGAAGTCAGTACCATGAAGAATGAAGAATAAAACCAAAGATAAACTCTATTTCTACTCCCCTCCCCCATCACCCACTGTTCTCGAATAGGAGTTGTGCAGGAAAGTTTTAGTTTGTAGGAACCAATTCTATTTGATGAGACCTTTCATTTGAATACCAGGAAGGGTGGTTCACCCCTAGCCCCTCCCCTCCATGTTTAAAAGTTTTACTTTGCACCACTAGTTCAAAACCATAGAAAGTGGGTCCGAACAAAACGCAAACAGCACATTTTTTAAAATTCTTAATAAATGCACTAAAAATCAATAATTCAGTAACTCAAATATGCGCATTTGGTTCAAATGATAGCAACATAATACCCCCTCTCCATAAAAATCATCCATTCTCGAAAACAAAATTATGCCGTTACTCAACAGTAGTACATTTCACGCAACGATTTAAATGATATTGAAAGGTGGTATTAATGCCCTCATCATGATTCATGTCCATCCTCAAATATCTGAATGGGGGGCGGGCGGTCACCTCTCAGCAACATTTAAATATGATTAACTAAAAATCATTTAAAAGGAAAAGGAAATTTTAATTGTACTTTTTGGGAATATATGTTGTATGTATTTTCCTTATTTGTAAAATAATGAGAGGGTAGGGTAGAGGTCATTAAAACATGCATTTTATGGATTTTAAAGGATTTGAGATTAATTTTAAATGGCGCGTTCTCAAAAAACTGAAATATTTTTGGCAACAGATTGGAAATATTAAAAAACATTTAATGAATGTCGAATTGAGGTGTTACAAAATGCGAAAAAAAGGTGCAAATAGTTTCCACAAAAGGTGCTTTGTAAACGTCATAGAAGTCCTGAAAGACTTCGAGCACTCTTATCTAAAATGAACAGAAACTTGTATAAAATGGTTTAGTGAGAGTCCTGTATGGAATTTTTAGGTTCTTTCTAGAGCGTGTAGTCCTAAAGACTTTAAAATTAGGAAATACTATTCGAAGGCTCTTGTACTGTAAGGTTCAAGCAGCTCCGGGGGGCACTAAAGGTCCTTTGATTTCCGTGGAAGCGTTTGTGAGGCTTTCCAAACCTTCTTGCACTTTCCAAACAATTCTATAGCATTTCAAGGACCTTAAATCTTTCCTAATGCTGCCAAAAACCTTATGTGCACCCTCTAGAACCATACCAGCATAAAAAACTCTGAAAAAATGTGGTAAGCTCTAGCAGAACAGAGAAAAGCTCAGAATGTCATTTAAAGTTCAACATTAAAGCACGAAGGAATGTTCAAAACTAATTTTTTTAGGTAAAATTTGCGGGACCTATTCCCCCACCAGCTAAATTACCACCCAAATGGAAATGCGCGAAAGATAAATATGGTCGTCCCTACTATTATCACATAAAAATACGCATATCCCAGTGGGAACCACCAGAAATTCCTCCACATCTTGAACTGGATGAGGAATGTAAGCAGAAATAATTGTTTAACTTATATTTCGACAAAAAACGTATTGTAGCTACAGAATCGTCATCCAGTTCAGAAACTAGCAGTCTAAGCTCGGATTCATCATCGGAGGATAGTGACGAAGACGATTTAGAAGAGTCAAAATTAGCGGCGAGTGTGCGTAAAAAACATTCACTCTTGGATTCACTCGATAAATGCAGTCCACAAATTGAATTAAGCCCGAACGACTCTTGCACTATTACGAATGAAGAGGAGGAGATGCTTGATACGAGCGTGACTTCCCTCGACGAAAGACTGCAAGAGGAGTTTAACGTGTTGAAACGTGAATGCTCAACAAACCGAGAATCGGCGTCCAAACGAAAACGGTTAGGTTTGGTAACCGAAGTGCATATAATAAGCGTAAGTTTTCTCGCAGTTGTTAATTCACTCAATTGTATTTTACAGCCGCGCACCGAAGAGGATAAGGTATTGGCGAAAGAGAATTTGAGAAAATATAAGGAAAATAAAGAGAGATTGAAACGGCAAAAAGAGACGTCGGCAGAACAAACTAAAAAGCGGGTAAAAGTTACAATTAAGACGCCTAAATCGTCACGTAAACACAAAACGTTGACAAAAATCCAATTAAAAGAAGCTATGGATTTAAATTCTGAATCTGCTAGGAAAATTAAAGAATCATTTACATCAATTATGGCCGGTGTCATGGTCGGAATATTAAATCCCTATAGGAAGGCTGACTGTAAGGAGGGAAAAATCACGAATACAGAAGATTTCAAACATCTTGCTAGAAAGGTATGTTACAAGCAGGATCAATTAAATAAAAGGTATTGCATAGTGTGCTCATATTATTAATACTTTGTACGGCCGGTTGCAGGAAAGCGAATTATAATCAAAATCCTACATTATTTGCCAAATCTGGGTTTAAACAAGAATTGTGACATTTGATTGGTTGCATACTGCAGTATAAAGCCAATCAAATGTCTTAATACCGGATTAAACAATGCTCCTGGATTATTTTTTTGTGCAACTGGCCGTAAGGGACCAACTTGCTAATTTCCAAAATATTTGAAAAACAAAATCTTATTTTGCAAATTAGTATCCATTCACAAACGGTCCTTAATAAAAATTGGCTAATCTTTAAGGGCCAAAACTTTGTCAACATCCTGCTTTAAATAGGGGAATAGTAATGCAGATTGTGATGGATTTTGGTATTACTCTGGAGAAGGTTATTTAAATTCACACATTTTTCACGTAGGGAATTAATGTAACAATCGTCACTATTGTCTTTTTGATCTGTGTCTGATTGCAGAGTGAGAGAGTAAATAATTGGAAATGGGCAACATTATGTTATTTGATAAACAGACGTCATATGTGTGTTTTAATGGCACTGAATGTGTTAATCGAAATTTTGCTTTGCACACTACGTGTTTGTTTTTTTTTTCAGCTAACTCATTTCGTAATGATAAAGGAATTAAAGCACTGCCAGAATTTAGAAGACTTAACGTGTACAGAAAGTGTGAAATCAAAAGCAAAAGAATTTGTAAGGAAATATATGTCGAAGTTTGGAGAATTGTATGTAAGACCGCCAGATGATCTGGACTATTAGTTAAGTGATGTTCAATTTGTGTCTGTGATAGAACCTTGTAATTGTTAACTTATTTTACAATTTTTGTATATTATAATTTGAAAACGAGTTGCGATTCAATTTTTTTTGTGCATGCGAGTTATAGTGTTGTAGACTTAAGTACAAACATAATTTTTTAAGCAGAAACTGTTCCAATCAAGATGTAAGATATTTCAGCTACTTTTCTAATCATCATTTTGATTTAAACATGATACTTATCGTGACAGGGTGTCAATGTGAACGTACCTGAGAGACTTTGCTTGTACAAAAAAAAACCATGACCTCCCCATGCGATTATGTTGTATTTTATCTTAAAGGTGCTCCCTTGTATATATTCAGGTTATACACAAATCAGGATTTAGTACTACCATCGATTAAAAAGATAAGAAAATGTGATTTTTTATTATACCTAAATTGGAAGTACACTCGATTATCCGCGGTTTTTGAGTACCTTCAGCCATTGTTTAACTGCTATCAGCAATTTTGCAACTTATCTGTGAAATCTGGATATCGGCACCACTCAATTATGCGGATAATCTGGAATTTACTGTACACTTTCTTGAATCAGATATGTTGAACCTCCAAAACGCTATCTTGTCAAGCAAACATACACAAAGTAATTGGTGTGGTCACAGTTGGGCCACGCTTTGCTGTGGTAAAATGTGGAGGCGATTGTCGTGGATGCAACTTCCTTGTCTCAAGGGATTGATGTCAAAGACACTGTCTATTCTCATTAATACTCGCTGGGCATCAGTTCATTAAAATACGTCAGCGTAGATGCTTTTTAGAGACTTAAATAATTGTTTTTTTATTTGCGACATTTTCAATGCGAAATAAGATCACTCACTAGTAGGCGGGGAACACTTTGTAACCCGAAGGCGGAATCTTCAAATGAGTATAACTTTTGTTTGTTTGTTTTTGTTGTCCGGCCAAGAATTGCAGTGGAACTTTTTTCGTCAAATTTTTAAAAACTAATTCTCGATTCGTCATTTTCATGTTCAAAAACCCCCAGATACCAAATTTCGTCGAAATCAGAATTTTTTTCGCACCCCCGAGCAGGGGTGCGCCCTTTCGTGATAGGAATTTTGAAAATTGCTTTTCAAAATCGGATAGAGCATACCCGAAAACCTATTCAAAGACGTGCCACCCATCTTTGTAACTCTTGGTTGCTGAGAAAAAAATTAAAGAAGAAATCCAAATTTCATTACTGCTTTGGGGGTGGCTTCCAAACGAAACACGTTGGACCCTCGGTGTTTTTGGAAAAAGTGCCCCTCTATCACCCAATTTTTTTTACATGCCGTCATGTAACACCCTGTATATTAAGGTAAACGCTTTATTAAGAGGGGATTTTTTGCGTTTGGTGTTTAACAATATTTACATTTTTTGCTTTCCGCCTTTTGCATTTTTGCAAACTACGTTTTATAAGTACCGCAATTTTGAGCTTTCCGTAAATCTACTTTGTATTCATGCCGTTTAAATTTTGCTTTTACATTAACTTTACCGCACCGTATAACTATAGCTTTTGTTTTTCCTTGCACAGGTAATTCCTACCGCTCCGTTTTTGTTATTTCCGTTTACATAATTATAAAATGGGATATTATCTCGCTTCCCTGCAATTACTTTCCCGTACAAACCGCTATTGAATCCGACTATTTACTGTTCCCGCTTAGGGAAATCGCTGTGCGCTTTAAGTTTGTTTTAGCATTAATCAGTAGCCGCTCACCGCTTGCCGTTTAGAATTCCGTTCTCCATTCGAGTCGCCGACTGCATCTTGTCCAGAAGCTTCTGGAACTCCAGTTCCGCCGACTATGGTCGCCGTCATCGTCTACAGATTTTGATTTGTAAATCAAACGCAACACGTTACTAAATAACAAACTATTTCGTAATGCTTTGTTCCAGAATCACAACTGGGCAATTTCAGGAAAGAGGCAGCAATTTCAAGATGTCATAGAGCTATAATTTTCAGAATTCGATAATATGTATTCTAAATATGGAAAAATATGTTTTAATGTTTGTATTTGAATTGTTGTGTATGTCCTATCATAATATTGTTTTTTAGCAACCTGAAAAAAATACTGGGAATCGGGAACAAAAATACTAATAGCCAGAATCGGAACCCCTTAAAAAATAAACCTATAATTCATATGAGGTGGTTACGTATGTGGTTTGAGTAAGAGTGGTTTAATAATAAAGCCATTTTGAGATGCTCTATATAATTATGGATGAATATACAAATGGACTACTTGACACGATACATATTACGTTGGGCCTAGGCCAAGGACGTCTGGTACAGTCGTAGCTTCGGAGGTGGCTCACGCCACGCTGTCATATATCACACCTTCCTATTGAGTTAAGACTACTTTACAAATTCATTAAGATAAGAAGGTTTCTGAATGTGTCTTCCAGATCGGGTCACATTTTGTTGAGGCTCGTTATTTATTTCAAGACTTTTGTCATTACCACTTTCCGAGATCAGATCTGGATTTACATCATCGTCACTAACTACATTTTCATTTACATTGTCTGACATGTACATAAGTGCATTGGGCGAAGTACGAATGTGCTTTGAATTTCTAATAACAAGTTTGTTGTGCTGATTTTGGACCATGTACGATCTTGGATTGGTTGTAGGAGTAATTATTTTTGCAGGCTCCCATAACTTGGTTAAAGGATTTTGTAAAGCAACATTTTGATCCTTTTGAAATAGCGGCCGTTCACTTGCCTTTTTATCATAATTCAATTTAATTTGTACATTTCTATCGCTCAACTTACTGTAAGCATCTTCGTACACCACCTTTGGTTTTAACAGTTCTTGTTTAATCGGTAAGTTAGTATTTAATAGTCTACTCATCAGAATTTGTGATGGACTATAATCTACCCCCGCCACAGGTGTTGCTCTATAATCTAACAGTGCTTCGTTAATTTCATTGACATTATTACATTTTTTAATTATCAATTTAGCAATACCTACTCCCCTTTCTGCCAAACCATTACTTTTAGCATAGTATAGACTGGAGAACTGGAGCTGTATATTATGTGTATTACAAAATGTTCTAAATTGACTACTGTTAAATGGAACATTGTCACAAATGATTTGTTTCGGCATTCCATGTGTTGCGAACACAGGAAAAAGCCTGCTTACAATTTCCGTAATAGTTTTGTTATTTAACGGTAGTATTTCTAACCATTTTGATAAATAGTCAACTACTATTAAATAATTCCTTTTTGCATATTCTGCTATGTCAATTCCAATTTTATGAAAAGGATACTTTGGAATTTCATGTTGCAGCAAAGGTTCATTGTTACACGATTTTTGATAATGTTCGCACAGACGACATTTTTTAACAAAATGCTCTATGTCTTGACTTATTGAAGGCCAATAATACGTTTTTCTAAGCCGCTGCTTACACTTTACTATACCTAAGTGAGCTTTTCCATGAGCAAGTGATAATAAGTAATTTTGTAAACTAATTGGTACAACTATTTTTTGATCACACATTAAGATATCGTCATTAACATACAATTCTTCACGGATTTTGTAAAATCTTAACAAACTATTACTAGATATCTTTTTGTTAAATTTACTCCAATTTTGGTTAATATTCTCAATAACTTGCGTGAGAGTCAAATCACGTTTTGTCTCTTCTGCAATTTTCATTAAATTTTTATCCGGAATGGATAGAAATTCGCTTAAAGTCAAACTATGAACAATGTCACTCATATCAGGATCATCATTAACATTTTCTGTTATGAATGATCGTGAAAGATGATCTGCCAACACCATTTGTGCACCTGGCAAGTATTTTACAGTAAATTGATACTTAAGTACTTTTAATTTCAATCTCTGAATACGATTGGTACTTTTATGAATACATTTACTGAATATGCTAATCAACGGTTTATGATCAGTTTCAATTAATACATTGTGACCATACACCAGTTGATGAAATCGATTTAATGCGAACACAATTGCAAGCAACTCTTTCTCTAGAACAGAATAATTCTTTTCACTATTATTTAAGGATCTAGACGCGAATGCGACTGGTCTTTTGTTTTGCAACAAGGCACAACCAATTCCATGATTACTCGCATCAGTTTGAATTACTATATTTTCTTTTGGATTAAAATGCTTTANGTATGTGGTTTGAGTAAGAGTGGTTTAATAATAATGCCATTTTGAGATGCTCTATATAATTATGGATGAATATATAAATGGACTACTTGACACGATACATATTACATTGGGCCATGACCAAGGGCATCTGGTCCAGTCGTAGCTTCGGAGGTGGCTCACGCCACGCTGTCATATATCACACCTTCCTATTGAGTTAAGACTACTTTACAAATTCATTAAGATAAGAAGGTTTCTGAATGTGTCTTCCAGATCGGGTCACATTTTGTTGAGGCTCGTTATTTATTTCAAGACTTTTGTCATTACCACTTTCCGAGATCAGATCTGGATTTACATCATCGTCACTAACTACATTTTCATTTACATTGTCTGACATGTACATAAGTGCATTGGGCGAAGTACGAATGTGCTTTGAATTTCTAATAACAAGTTTGTTGTGCTGATTTTGGACCATGTACGATCTTGGATTGGTTGTAGGAGTAATTATTTTTGCAGGCTCCCATAACTTGGTTAAAGGATTTTGTAAAGCAACATTTTGATCCTTTTGAAATAGCGGCCGTTCACTTGCCTTTTTATCATAATTCAATTTAATTTGTACATTTCTATCGCTCAACTTACTGTAAGCATCTTCGTACACCACCTTTGGTTTTAACAGTTCTTGTTTAATCGGTAAGTTAGTATTTAATAGTCTACTCATCAGAATTTGTGATGGACTATAATCTACCCCCGCCACAGGTGTTGCTCTATAATCTAACAGTGCTTCGTTAATTTCATTGACATTATTACATTTTTTAATTATCAATTTAGCAATACCTACTCCCCTTTCTGCCAAACCATTACTTTTAGCATAGTATAGACTGGAGAACTGGAGCTGTATATTATGTGTATTACAAAATGTTCTAAATTGACTACTGTTAAATGGAACATTGTCACAAATGATTTGTTTCGGCATTCCATGTGTTGCGAACACAGGAAAAAGCCTGCTTACAAGATTTACTATACCTAAGTGAGCTTTTCCATGAGCAAGTGATAATAAGTAATTTTGTAAACTAATTGGTACAACTATTTTTTGATCACACATTAAGATATCGTCATTAACATACAATTCTTCACGGATTTTGTAAAATCTTAACAAACTATTACTAGATATCTTTTTGTTAAATTTACTCCAATTTTGGTTAATATTCTCAATAACTTGCGTGAGAGTCAAATCACGTTTTGTCTCTTCTGCAATTTTCATTAAATTTTTATCCGGAATGGATAGAAATTCGCTTAAAGTCAAACTATGAACAATGTCACTCATATCAGGATCATCATTAACATTTTCTGTTATGAATGATCGTGAAAGATGATCTGCCAACACCATTTGTGCACCTGGCAAGTATTTTACAGTAAATTGATACTTAAGTACTTTTAATTTCAATCTCTGAATACGATTGGTACTTTTATGAATACATTTACTGAATATGCTAATCAACGGTTTATGATCAGTTTCAATTAATACATTGTGACCATACACCAGTTGATGAAATCGATTTAATGCGAACACAATTGCAAGCAACTCTTTCTCTAGAACAGAATAATTCTTTTCACTATTATTTAAGGATCTAGACGCGAATGCGACTGGTCTTTTGTTTTGCAACAAGGCACAACCAATTCCATGATTACTCGCATCAGTTTGAATTACTATATTTTCTTTTGGATTAAAATGCTTTAAAGTCGTGATATTAATTAATTTTAATTTTATTTGATCTACTGCTGTTTGTTGCCTGTTGGTCCACTGCCAATCTTGGTTAGTTCTTAACAATAACCTTAATGAATTCGTTAATTCAGATAATTTTGGTATAAAAGAGTGGAAATAATTGACTAATCCTAAAAATCTCTGAAGCTCTTTTTTATTAACTGGATTAGGCATCTTAGCAATAGCTTCTAACTGTTTGCTATCAGGACGAACACCCTGTTCATTAAATATTAAACCTAAGTACATAACTTTCCCAACTTTATACTGAATCTTAGAGTAGTTAAATTTTACATTATATTGACTCGCTTTATCCATTACTTTACTAAAGATTTTGTCATGAGTTACCTCGTCCTCTGCTGCTATTATGAGATCATCGAAGTATACCTGTACACCTTCCAAATCACCAAAAATACGTTCTAATTCCCTTTGAAATATTTCAGGGCTTGAACTTAAACCAAAAGGTAATCTGTTATATTTGTAACGACCAAACGGTGTTGCAAAGGTACATAGGTAAGATGATTCATCATCAAGAGGTATTTGATGAAACCCATCCTTCATATCTAATACACTAAAGACTTTTTTACCAGCTAAGTTTGTACGAAGCTCTTCCATTGTCGGTATTACATGATGTTCTCTCTTGATAACCTTATTTAACTGCGATGGGTTGAGGCATATTCGTATGGACCCATTTTTCTTCTCCACGATTATTATATCATTCACCCAGTCAGTTGGTCGCGTCACCTTGGATATGATGGTCTGGTCTTCTAATGTTTTTAACGCTGCTTGCAGTTTTTCCTTTATGCAGGAGGCATATCTTCGAGCTGGCTTTACAGTAGGAACTGCATTCTCCGAGAGGCAAATTTTGTAATTAAAAGGCAGCTTACCCAAACCTAAAAATACATTTTTATATTTAGTAAAAATATTGTCATTATCCAAGCTATTTGACACATTGTTAACCCGTTTTACTAAGTTCATGTCAACAGCAGTTGATAACCCTAGTATTGGCTTTGCATTAACTTTAGCAACCACAAATGAAATCGAAGTCTCGACCGAATCACTTACTTTACACGGAATTTTAACAATACCGAAAGTTTCAATTTTAGTACCACCATATGCTATTAACACAGAATTAGTCTCCTTTAGGCTAAACCTGCTAAAATAAGTCTTATAATAATTATACGGAAGAACATTAATGTCTGCTCCTGTATCAATTTTAAAGTCCACCGATAACCGATTGTCTAACATTATCGCATGTGTCCAACTTTTACTTAAAGCACCTGATTTTATACTTCGCACTGTCAATTCGTTTGTAAACCATGCCTGTTCAGGTTCATCTCGTTCATTATTAAAATCTAATTCGTTGACACCTTTTTTGTCAGCTTTTCTCCATCGCCCGACTTGTGTCGCCCTAGCCTGTTTACACCCTACTTTAAAATGGTTAAACCGACCACACTGGTTACATTTAAGCCCATAGGCAGGACAAGCACGAATTGCATGAGTCTTACCACATTTTTTACACTGATAGTTATCATTATGACCATTTTCAGAACTACCGCTATTGGTCCCTTTTTTACTATGTCCAATTTTTAATTTATTAATATTTAGTTCATTTCCTTTACCTTCACGCATTAATTTCACCTGTTGTTTGCTGACTTCAGCTGCTCGGCACAAGTTGCTAGCCTTCTCCAGATTTATGTCAGCTTCTCTCAACAGTGCTTCCTGTAGTCCTCTATCTCTAATGCCCAGTATTATTTTATCCCGCACCAGGCTCTCTTCTTGTTTTTCAAACTCACATATTTTTGCTATTTTCTTTAAATCTGTAAGAAAGTTATCGAATGACTCACCCTCCGCCTGGTTGCGGTTAAAGAATTTGTATCTGTTAAAGACCTGATTCTTTCTCGGTATGCAGTGGTCTTCGAAGCATTGTAACACTTTCCCAATATCTTTTCTGTCTTCATTCGAGAGATTAAATGTATTGAACAGCTGCAGCCCATCGTCACCGATCGTGTTTAATAACATAGCCACTTGAACTGACCCCGATTTTTTAGTATATTCGGTTGCCTCCAAAAATATTTGGAATCGTTGTTTAAATAACTTCCAGTTCTCTGCGACGTCTTCGCTTAGATTCAATGATGATGGGGGCTTGAAATTTTCCATGTTCACCTTAGTAAAGAAACGTGTTATAACTTTTACTACTATTTTACACCTGACACCATGTTAAGTATGTGGTTTGAGTAAGAGTGGTTTAATAATACTGCCATTTTGAGATGCTCTATATAATTATGGATGAATATATGAATGGACTACTTGACACGATACATATTACATTGGGGCATGACCAAGGACATCTGGTCCAGTCGTAGCTTCGGAGGTGGCTCACGCCACGCTGTCATATATACAGTATTATATGCCATCGTATTTGGTTTCACACTCGATTTCTTGTTCGAAAAGCGTGCACTTGGAACGATCATGCACCGGTAGGTGTTGCAAACATACAATTAGGTTCAATTCGCATTCTAAAACAGTTAGAGAATATTGTCACCACAATATGCCACTGTTTTCGGTAGTCCCTAAAAAATATGGTCTGTAGTGTTAGTCGATCAGATTTAGCTGGTATTGTTAATTACAAATGATTAAACATTCGCACGAAACGTTTTCAGGTGTGCAGTGTAACGGGTAATTACAAAACCAGGACTGACAAGCCCGCTTGTATTAATAATTTTGGTTTCACGTTTAAATCATATAAACAAATAATGGTAATTTCTTATAAAATTATGCCGTCGGCTAGCTCAATATAACGAAAATCTTCTATACCAAACATTAATTTGCAGGGGACTGGACTTCTCGCACCTTTGCGTTAGACATTGCGCTAGACCAACTGGTAAAAAATGCAGACAAAAAACTACATTCCAAAAAAATTCAAATAAATTTAAACAAAGGAACATCTTGCGCTCATGTACAGCTCAATCATACATTTGGAAAAAAGCATGGTAGACATGGATAATATTGTCACAATGTCTTTTTCGAGTCACTATAACTCACTAGCGACCACCGATATGCAATAACCTAATGCGATTAATCGGTTAAGTGAATAAAATTGGAAAGATCTAAGTAAGCTATAATGTTTCAGGAAAGGTACCAATGGTAAGAAGAAAGATAAAAAGAAAAGAAAAACCCAACGAACTGAAAATTATTTAAATAATAATAAAAAAATATTTCAAGTTTTTCTTCTGAAATTATACATTAGGAAAAGGCGATGAAAAACGATTATTTTCGTAGAAATTCTCCATGCGTGATTTGGGCCATACTTTGGACGGTCGTATATAAAGGATGTTATAAATACAGTGCAGTTACTATTATGTTAACGGCAGTATTTTTTAAAGATCACCTATCTCCCCTTAATTAACTTTGCCATCTTTATAAGAGAGAGCTTTTAATTTCGAAAACAGTGGCGACGATTCTGATCGAGACTTTGCGAATCGATTATATGGAAAAGTAAATCCATAAAGGAGATGATGGATCAGAAACTTTTTGATACAGCGTACAAAGTATATGCAAAAGGGGTTGTTCACAAATAACACAACTTTTACTGGTTTCTTCCACTACCGTTGCTAAACGCTTCGCCATTTCAGTTGTTTTGGGAATCCTACAAAGCTATTTCGGTAGCTTTCTGTCCCTTTCCGTCACCGTCTAGGTTTTTTAGACCTCTCTTGGCTTGTCTAGGTCTGAAATGGTCTAGAATGGCCTGAAAAACTTACACCAGCTCCAGAAAAATTTAAAGAGGAGGAAACCACGACAAAGTTATAAAAAAAATCTCCCAAGATTTTTAGTTCCTCTTCAAACGTTTCTAAAGATTTTTGTTTCTTTCGAAACTACTCTAAGATGTTTCTAGAACTCTCTTCGTTCGATTGATTCCGGATAAAGTACTGCAGTTTCAGTCGTCTTGGAAACCTTTGCTATCGTATTAGATACCTATAGGCTATATTAGATACTTTTTGAAAGGTTTATTCGAAATATTCCTACAAACTTATTAGGAGTAGTGAAAATCCTTCTTGTAAATAACCCCTAGTAATGTTACTAACGCCGTATATGCCAAAATATCAAGTATCCAATCTTCAGTCTCTCCGTGAAATCGCATCAGAAAGCTTTGTGGAAGTTTTTGTAGTGCAATATTCGTACAAACATTTTTAGAATTTTTAGGAACACGTTCACGCATCTTCTTATAAATCCCCATTACAGAAAATGCCTTTGATTTCGTCTTCGTAATATCGTAGAAATCTTGAAAACGACTTTGGGGATTTTCTCAAAGATATTGTTGAGCAGCTTCTTTGAGGGAATCTTATTAGAAACATTCTTATCCATCGCATTAGAAGCTTTCTTGATAATGTTCCTATCCTCTTATAAGACTATGTCAACCTCTTTCTTAAACAGTCTTCAAAATCATCTATAGTGGCTATTGAAAATAGTCTCTCTTTAGGTCTGGTTAAAACCTCCTTAGTAACATTCCTTGAAACTCGAAAGACAGAGCTGCTCAATTCTTGTAAAACACATTTTTTTAGAAACCTTTTTCGGAATACTCTCAGAAAACTCCGGAAAAATATTTTATTTAAATCGTTCATACTCCTGGAATAAACCTTCTTAAACATCTTCTTATCGATCTCTTTGCAAGTCTTCTTAGGCATATGATTCTGAAAAACTGTTTAAGATCCATAAATGTGTTTGGCAACTGCTTACATCCGAAAAGTCTTACACATTTTTTTGTCAATCTCTCTAGTAATTATACCAGAAATCCTAGAAATCTTTTATAAAAACCCTTTTGTATGTTATATCATATCTTACTACTTACTAGTTTTTTTTGGACAATCATATCTGAGATTTGGCCCAATGATGGCATTTTTTAAATGCAACACCTTTAACGTCAATTTTTTACATTCGTTTTCCTGAGTACATTGAGTACAGCCTATATTTTTTTATGTCTTACTAACCTATCATAGCACATTTTATATCTATGATACGCGAGCATAAAGTACCACTTTATGCCGTAGGGCATTATGTATCACCATAGTAACTCATTTATTCTTAATGACAAAACAAACAAATATTTGCAGGTCATTGAAAATTAGAAACGTCAATTATTAATTGTCAATATCTACTAAATCACAAGATTGGCCTTATTTCGTATAGTTTCTGGAACTCTTGCTCATTCACGATGAATTGAATTATTTAAAATTACGTTTGTGTTTGGATGGTTTCAATCACATTAACAAATTTGAACCACGCATACTCGATCAAACATAATGAATTATTTTGTAAACGAATTTTGACGAAGAAAACTATTTGTAAGACATAAAATTGTGTATGTACCACGGGCATAAGCTGATGTTTATACTCTCGGGCGACTAAAAATACATAAATAACTATTATATATTTTTAAAAATTTTGAAATGGCATATTTCTACTGTCAGCCCTTTTAGCATTGGAAATGCTTATGTTTTGTATATGGGTATGAAGTTACCAGTTTCGTTCAAGTAGAAATGACACGGTGTCACATCTAGTGATGATTGGACCGTACTCGGCCGCAAGGAAAAGTCCCAGACACTGTCGATACGGTACTTACTTGTTCTTAGTTCACGACTACAATTTAAAAAATATAGGTTGTAATGTAAACAGGAAAATAATGCAAAAAAATTACGTTATGATATACAGGGTGTTGCATTTCAAAAATAACAACTTTGGTTTAAATCTCAGAAACTACTACGCTACTGGATTTTACGTAAAAATATCTAAAATTAAACAGTTTTTGCCTTTTTTATCTTACATGAGTAATAAGATATGTTAACGTCCTAAAAAGTCAAACTTTTTGTTTTTTCTCTGTATTTCCGAAACAAACGTGGCTAAATTTATATTGTGTGTGGTATTAAGTTTCACAAAAAAAGTGGCACAGAGTCGCGAAAACCGCAAGTCTCTATCTTAACAATAGCTGAGATACACTGTAGTCTCAACCAAAATGGGACACACGGTACACACACGACTCTCCAAAATTGGAAAATGCATCCAAAATTCTAGAACTAAAATCTAATATAAAAAATATAGTGTTAGAAACATTTCCGGGATTCACGATCTAATAATAATTAATATAGAAGAACTTAAGAACCATAATTTGGGACCTTGCCTTCTGGTCTCGAAACCCTTAGGAAGGCCCTAAGGATTCTAGAAACAATTAACAAATTCTGAAGGGCTCACTAAATGGTTCCCAGTGGTTTTACTGAGCCATTAAATGCATTTCAATTAAATAACATACTATCACAGATTTAAATATACTAATACTATCGAGAGCTTTGTATCGCGTATTCAAGGCATCCATGTCTCGTTCTCAGGACCCATTAGTGATTACTGATTAGGCTCTATGTAGGGTTTTATAAACTACAACTAGTGCATTTCGGACCCCATTAAAATATTGCTAATCCCTTATATTTGATCAGTTTCAGATATATTTAGGCCCTTCAAGGCACTTTTTACCTCTCTACCCTCTGCTGAAAAAAGAACCAAATGTTGCTATTCACATGAAGGTGATATGGAGGCGATAGAGTGCGTAGAAATGCGCTGCTTTGTAGTAACGGGCAGTTGGGGGGATTTATATTTTACTTTTAATTTACCTACACCAATTAGCAATTACAATTGAGGCACAACATCCATTATGGGCCCTTCTAGGCCTGGTCTGGTAACTGGCTCGGTTGTTACAATTTCAATTTTCCCCAGTACACTTAGTGTATGTATGATTAGAAGCATTATCATAGAATTGTGTATACGTACTCGTATAAAAAAATTACTTTGAAATTATTCCAGTGAATGTAATTCGTGGCTAAACATAGAAAGTAACCGTAAAGAAGTACAATTTAGAATTTGTATTATACTAACTCCCTTCTTTCTACCTTAATTATTTTCCACCATTAATTACTTTGTCGAGTATACGTATAGCCGTTGCCGTCCCTGCTTTTACTTTGATTAGACGATTACTATTTTTAGTTTCCAATGTAAAGCGTAGTAAGCAAACTGTTGGTTTCCTTTCAGGTCATATATCGAATTCCTTTACGAGCTTTCTGTTTCCCCTTTATCTATGTATCCAATTGAAAACGAAATGAGATGCAATGTGATTTTGAAGGATGTTATTCCCGTTATTCCCTTCTCGCATAGCGCCGGAATAAACTACGCGATAAAATAGGAGTGCATTTGGGCGAAGTGTAGGGTAGTATACAATAAAAGCAATAAAAGCGAACCTCGTTATCAAATTATAGACTTAATTGGCAGTACGTAATCTCTGTAATTGCCCCACCTGCATACGTTTTATTGTGAAACGTACAGCTATACAAGAATGAAAGCTGCGGCTAATCAACTTGTGATTAGATCTATCGCATTTCCATTTCCAATAATGATCCATTAATCTACATTTGCATGTTATAGCATATGCATGCTGCTCGTAGTCGATAGCATAGTTCATAGAAAATTCTATGCCTGAAAACATAAAACTGAACTTTGTAATGCCATTTTGCTAGCATCCAGTGTTGAACGTTTCGCACTGAATTTTGATACATCAAAGGTCTACTGTATACTTTTTCAAATTATTTTCAATTGATTTTTCCAACTTTATTCCTTTTCACCTAAAAATTTATAAAATCAATTGAAGAGTTGCAGAGAATGATCTTCAGGCTCCAAGGGGCAAGGGGCAAAGTTGGTGTAGTATTCGAGCTGTACTTCCGATCCTCCTATCTCTCAATCTAAAATTGACGTCTCTTTTAGTTTACTTGATGTACAGCTCGTTCTTTAATTAATTATATAATAATATGTAATTATGAACTAGTGTATTCGTATGTAGCGAGGAAGCCAATAATGCCTGTGCAACAGTAGACTTAGAGGACTGGAGACGGCCTCGGTCGGAATCCTCTACGGGTGCGGATACCGATTCAGTTTACATGCACGGCTCTACGTGCGTCGATCATCGTTCGAATAGAAGAAAACTTCAGGTTAGTATTAAGCTATAAGATGGACCGTTTAGGAAAATCTATTACGAGTATAGTTTTAATGACTGCGGTGACATCCACAAAAATGTCATACTGGTAGTTAACACGTGTACGATTTAGAAGATCGTAGGCATTTAATTGATAGCTAAGGTGTATACTTACTGGTAACATTCTGTCCATTGGCCCGGCGGATGTTCAAATCTATTAGATCCAACTTTCCCTAAAATTTTGAGAGAGAAAGGGCATTTCTGTTGCGCTTTAAAACCTTTGTAGTGTACTTAACCCCCAGATTGTACGCTAACAAGAACACAGAAATAAATTAAACCCGACCACACTAAGAACTATTCTCCCAAAAACGTTAACTTATATAGCAGAGTCTCGCCCCCGAGATAGATAACTAGCCCCTCGTTCGGGGTTTCAGCTTACAGTTGATGCTCTAGATCAGCCCCGAAATTGAGTGTCGTAACTCATTTGGTTACAATTTTTTGCCACCTCCGTAACGGTCTCTGCAAAGCGAAACTGTTAGTTTATAAACACCAAAAATGAACGCGAATTCAAACGAAAGGTTAACGGTATCAAATGCATGATCTGCATTAAGGTTAAATTCAGTCAACTTCACAATCAAAGATTGAAACTGTAGCGCTTCTTTAAGGATAGAAGGAGGGATTGATCGCCTAGTCAGGGAAGAGCGGGTCTCTAGAAACTAAAAGGCTAATACGATTAGCCTTGCTTACCCCATTAACTGGGTTCCCATATAAATACTATGGAAAATAGATGATATATTAATTAACTTCGAATTTGCCGGGAACATGTGATATAAACTAACCTATAACTAATGAAAAATATTGTAAATAGCGTTTGCCGTGTGGCGCAGTTCAGTTAAAGCTGAACTGTGGTGCTAAAGGGTCCCTGGTTCGAATCTGGGTTTGGGCATGGATATTTGTAAATGTATGGTGGGTTGGGTTGGTAGAGCAGCCTTGGTTGAAACCCCGCCCACTCAAAAATAAAGGCAAAATAAAATAAATAAAATGTGAAAAATATGCTTACCTAGATTAAGAATAGCAACAACTCAATTCATGTTAATACGTTTAGATAAATAATTTGTGTAAAGATAAAATGGCGGTGACAAACGTTAAAAAATTATCGCACAAAATCTGTCGTTATCTCTCGGTCTATAAGACAATTCGAGTCACGCATGGTCTGGGTTTTAGACTGTCGAAAAGCATTTGCCAAAGAAACAAATTAACCTTCCCTTGTTTATTCATAATGGAATCCGTATACCTTATAAACAGCAACATTAAGACGTTTTCCTTAGACTGCGAGAATCACTCATGTAATACACGCACAAACATGAACACAGATTTTTGCCGCCTCACTACTTCCCAAAACGAAGCGATATAGCAGGCCCAGCACCATTTCAACTGCCTTCCTACCGCGACCAGGGAATTACGGTACCCACTGCGAAATTCAAGACTATATAACTTCTTTACTGAAACACGCTTTCATTCATTTAATGAATTTTCAGCAGCATCAAAATCAAAATTTGATACCTGAGATTTTTTAAACATGAAATTGAGATATTCAAAATTATTTTTTTAAATTAATCTAAAAATGATGCAAATACCATCTCAGAGATAGTCCAGCGTATTCGAATAAGCGATCCTCTCGCCTACAAGTGATCGGACGTGCGTTAATCGACCTTCACACTACGACAGACCTTATTAAATATACAAAATGGTCCACAATTAACTTCCTCTGCCCTTTTTAGCACATTTTCACCACAAATTATCTCTTTTAGTTGAAACTTTTTTAACGCAAACCGAAACATATACAGTGATATTTATTTAGAAGTAGACATTGGGATTTTTTTTTATTATTTGAAATTTAAAACCTTTACAGATTATAATGCTACATCAGTCACATTGAAACATAGAAAATGTATATAATATTAAATATTTGACTTACAATTATTTAGAAATGTACATATAACATTACAAATGGCGGTAGTAGTATTGTACAAAATTGTCTCAACGCGAGTGGGTAAATGAATTCCAAAATTTTGAAGTTTATCAATGAAATCTTTTCGGAGATGATTATAACTTGGGCATTGCCATAGTATGGGATTGATATCTTGGAGTTCATGACCACATTCGCAGTTGGTATTTGGTACAACCTCAATGACACTGCTCTGATATGGAAATCTATTCTTGTATTCTCATGCATGACAACACATTTAAATAAGCTAGACACGGTTACACAAGGCATTTGCCATTCTCTTCAGATAAATGTCATATTCTTGATGGAGAACACCTTCTACTAAACAGATTAGAACCGTTAATAATCCTCTCAAGTCCTCTACAGCAGTATTGTATTTCTTATGCTTTTCATTAGCATGCTGCCTAGATGTCACATCCCAATATACTGAGAAGTATAGGAGGGAGTGTCTGCATTTACAATGTGATTATCGAAAAACGCTTCATAGACCCCAACCGCCTTGAAATCCCCATACAGTGCACGGACACCATCGCTTGCTTCGTCTCGAGTTCGACTCCGACACCATTCCATGCAGGATTCGCCATGACAGCACATGACCATGCTTAACTAGGCCACCTTTCTTACAATTTAATGCATGAGTAAATACTTTGACGGGCTCCCCTTACATGCTGTTTGCGAAAACAAACGATGTTTTTTCTGTAGTTTTATGATAGAGCTTGAAAAAAATTGAAGCAAGGTATGTAAAGAATTTTTCCGAGATAATTTTTGATTGATGACAGAACTTTTGTTTTTTCTCGTGAATACAATAGTCGATGGTCTTGCAGCTTGAACGCTTTCAGAAATGATAATTAAGGAAACATAATTTATCTCGTAATTTATTTATGTACAAAGATAAATATATCAAGGGACATTTGTCGTTGAGACCATTTAAAAATTAAAAGGTACCTTTTTTATATGCGCACTTTAAACGTGAACGGAGTGAAGGGAAATAGAGATGTTCAAGACCGGATTTCGTCCTGATTTTTCGTATATGGTCACTATTGCCACCATAATGTTGCACGTCTGCTCCGCCGCGCTACGAAACTCAATTAGCTATACCTACTCCCAGAAAATTGAAAATATACAGTTTTATACATCTGAAGTTTTCAATTCCGCTTTTATATATTTTTTTTCGGTAGAGGTTGCGTCCCCTAGGAATGTAATCATCTTCTATTATACAATGCAAGGGCACAAAATATGAAATTTTATTTAATTTGTTATTAATCTTTTTCGGTACAAACATTCTAAATGCATTAGAACAACCCTCATTATAAAGAACTTAATTTACAATGCCATTGTTAAAACTTGGTGCTGATTAAAACTATTTGAAAGATTGCTGGGCTCTCGCCTCTTAGTGTTGAATTTAACGAATTACCAAGAATCTCCATTATTGCTTTGCACCAGTTTCGAGTTTCGAACTTTACGTGTTGTATTATACCTCAGTCGATAATCACACCGGAGATTACCAATGCACCAAGCAACTTCGGTTAATCAAAAATTTACTTCTCGCAGTAGGTGGGTGGTAAACGCGGCCGACTTAGATTGCAAAGCGCTAATCTCAAATGTGTCATATGCAAAGCAACGAGCATGGCAGTAATTGGATTTAAGTTTACTATTAGTTTTGAACAGTAGGCAAAGATGAGAGATATTTACAATTATTTGGAAACTTAATCCCTACCTACGTGTAAAGTGCTTAGAACTTTATGTATCTCCTGAAAAGATCAATACTAGAGTACAAGAAACACCCAAACAACATTCCGAACTTCCCGAATGTGCAGCCGATGTGTGTCACACAACAAAGAGATTGGAAGGTTTATAATATTAGGTTTAAAAGCTTAGAAAGCTTCATTTTTCTTTCAAAGCAAAAAAGAAGTTTCCATTCCTCCAATACTCCCGTTATATCATAATGCCGACTGTTGTGTTGCAAATTATGATTTATGTTTTCAGCAGATTATAATTATTATATTTTAAACAATCTATACTTTCTGTCTGGCGTTATTCTAAACCTCACTTTTCTTTGATAATAGACGGGAAACCGACTTCCCTTGTAGCTGTTTCTGCTTCGGTTCACAAAGAGGTTAATTAAAGTTGCTGTTAATCAGGTAGGTAAGTAATTAAGAAAGTCGAAAGAAGATGTGTATTCTTTGACGTGTATTTTCAAAATGCTAAAAACCGAGTAATCGTTTTCCAGTCTGTTAATCAATAGAGGTTTTAATCAGTTTTACACGAGGTATAATAACAAGTGTAAATGGTGCAGATAAAGCGCATTTTTTTATATCGACTTAGATTAGTAAATGGTTAGGTTATAAGGTAGTAGCATTGTTTTGGTAGTAGCATTGAGTAATTAAATTCACTCAACGGTAGTAGCATGCTATATTTATAGTCCAGGTTAAATAGCTCTAAAATAATTTATTTTCAAAAAAAAATAGTTACTGGGTCAAACCGGGTTTTTCATGCAGGAGAAATAATTATAAATTCGGAAAAATAATGGTTGGTAGAGATTAATTCCTTTCGTTGAGACTTTTCATTAGAGTACCCTGAAGGATAAAACTAGTTCCATTCACTCCTCCCCCTCCACCCCGTACTTTGATAAGAGGACAGAAAGAAGGGCAGTAGTTGGTAGAAAACGGTTGCTTTTGTTCAGACCCCGTCGCTCATTGATCTCCCAAAAGGATCTCATGGGAAAGTTATAGTTTGTACAAACCAATTTATTTCGATTTCGACCAAGTTTGTCGTATGTAACAGCTATGTACGTTTTACTTTCAAAAACTGCATCTCAGGAAATAATTCGTGGGGGGGGGGCCTTTTAGACAGCGAAATTTGATGGCCTTCTGGCACACCTTCAAGGTATAGGCTACCTACTGCAGGACTCTAGGACTATTCCCCTAGAAGTAGTTCAGAACGGTAGAAGTGGGTCCGGACGAACGGACGGACGGACGGACAAAACGCAAACAATAGCACTTTTTTTT